TAACCACTACAATAATTTTCATTTTATTTATTTTTTAATTTTATTTATTTTTTATTTATTTTCATTTTATTTTTTATTCTGTTTTATTTTATTTCATTTAATTTTATTCTATTTTATCCGTTCTATGCATTATCAAACTTCTCCTCTACTGCTAGAGCTACTAAAACTTCAGACCGAATATATTAAACATTTTAATTCGCCCCCTCTAGCGGTTTGGGCCAAATTGCAGCTTTCCAAAAAAATCCAAGATGGCGGCGGCAGATCGGGGCGCGGCTCGGCGATTGCCGATTTCATTGTATTTTCCTTGGTCTTTTACGCGATTCAAGCAAAGAAAACAAGTTGACCACAAGAACAAAAGAGTAATACAGCACTGGGAATCTAATGGTCCGTTTTGTTGGGCGGTAATTTCTCATTTCAAGTGAATATTTACTTGCGTCACAGTGATTTATTCACCAATCAAAAGCGACATCTTGCGACTTAAGCAAATATGGAAGGTTAATGTACATAATTTATGTCATTGATTTATTGGTCCAATTACAGCAGCTATTAGCGAAATTCTAGAACATTAAATGCATACTATGATATAAAACAATGGTTTTGTGGTAAACAGCATTTCCTCTTTTTTAGCAACTTCGTTGTATCAGAATAACGACACTATCATCCGGTAGGTCGACACCACAAAGTAAAGTATACATGCAGAGTAATTGGTTTCATTGGGTTTTTTTTTCACGATCGAAATCAAGATTTATCCAACCATTCAACGTACATATCTTGGAGCACAATATCTCGGCCGCTTCAGGCGGCCGAGATAAAAAGAAAGAAGACCAAAACTGGTTGTGGATGAAGGATGGACTTAAAGGTTGCCTTCCAAACTCCTACTTGCTTCCTACCGGTAAGTTTGAGCTCACCCACACCGTGTCTGATCCATTCTGACGTGAACTGGTGATACTTTTGTTTAGTTTGTTTTGTGGAGGGGGGGGGGTCCTCAGCAGTGGCTGCTCATTCTACTGCCACCTGTTCCGTCTGCAGGTCCTGATAGTCTCCAACAGGTTCCTCAGGATGCAGAAAGGCTGTAAATGTTGGCCAAATGGGATGGGCCTGTCTGAAAGTAAATCTTCAGGAAACTATGTTTTAAAAATAAAACTTGTGTTTGTATTGGTTCCATCATTGACATGCAGATAAGGCTATTCAATTAGCAGCCGAAGCACAGTATTATTTTTTATTTTTATTTTATGAAGATTTACCATATTTGTGGAAGGATTCACATATCACCTCTTCAAGATATCAAACCTGAGACCGGACTGTAAGGTTTGAACCACTCACTCTGGGAAGGACCCCTATCAAGGACTAGCCTTTGAAAGTTTGAGTTTCGTTCGAAAATTGATAGTTTTTTTTACATCACCCACCATACCAGGGTGATCCCCTACTCATTTCGATAAGTCTGGTGGGGTCTTTAACGAGCTGGAAAGGCTGGACCTACATCTAACGTCGTCCTATAGCCCGCTAGAATCATATTTTAGTATTAGTTTGTGTATGTACCTTTGTTGTTTCTTTGCCATACATTGTACCAGCTACAATTGTTGAGCAATAAAGTTGATTTGATATCCACGGTGGATTGTTCATACTACATGGGCAGTTTCTACCAGTATTTCAGCACCCTAAGAAGCCCGTTGGAGGCTACGTTAGGGTTTCCCGAGCCACTTGTTTCCGGTCGTCTGCGATGACAGATGGTGAAATAATGACTTCCGTAGGGCGGAGGGACACGGTTGGCAGGCGTGAACAGGCAGACAATGGCGCGAAGTTTTACTGAGAGCGCGGAGGGATACGGTCAGCAGGCGTGAATGGTCGGACAATGGCGGAAGGTTTTCCTGGGAGCGCGGAGGTTGTTCAGGGTAATCCATCACTGTTCTGTTCTCACATGGAGATAAGAAAGACCTAGCTTTATATTATAGACGAATCGTTTTTCCTGTCGAAAGCTTACTAGCTGGACGGTCAAACATTTAAAATAATTATAAAGTCATTTAGAAGATCACCAAAAAACTGCATTTCTACTAAGATCACAAAACCCACTATTCATTATCCACTGCCTTCAAAGAAGAAGTCGAACCCCTTAATAGCAAGCTTAGCAGTAGAAGAAGAAGTTTATTCCAGACAGTTGTTACCTGTCTCCTGTTACTGTATTGCAATGAGTATTATACTTGATTGTAATAATACTAGTATAAAACGATGAGGTTTTGTCATTTTCCCTAAATGTTGTCAAGTGTGGAGAGGTGTTCTTGTCTCATCAGGATTTTATTTTGGTAAACTTTATAGCAAGACAGTACTCAAAGTTTGCCGCACCAGATATTGAAGAAAACTAATTTGCAGTGTCACTGCTGTCTGACCTGCAGTTCTGTGAATTACGATAGGTGGCGTTACTGAACAGTTCTCCATCAGTCCAACAGCAGAAGCACCGCCATGGCTACAGAGTGCCGGTTTGTTTCGGTTTCATGTCACGACAAGACTATGCAGGCTAATAGACAAATAAATTCTAGAAGTAGTAGTAGAACAAAAGACAACGGTGCGAATCTAACATGTTCTCATCAGCTTGTCAAATGAGTATTTGTTGAAACTCCGTTATGTGTGATGCAAACATTGAACGCTGTCCTATCTCAGCTTAGGACAGACTGTAGTCATTTGGACTCCTGACGTGCAAGTTTCTTATTCATCTTCCTGGCCTGGTTCATGTACATTCTCGCTATTCGATCATGACCCAAGGCAGCCCAGGCTGCAGACAGGTTACTGAGTGAGGCAGCGATACTAGGATTTTCTGCACACGCACCGTACACATTTCTCTGCATCTGTAGGGCTCGCTCAAAGCAGTCAATGGCTTTTCTCTTCTCACCAAGGCGAAGCCAGACTGTTCCAATGCCGTTAAGTGTGGGGGAATTGTCAGGATGTGCCGTACCGTGCAAAGACTGGAACATCTGCAATGAGAGGTCATGGTAGTCCAGTGCCTTTCTGTAATCCCTCAGAGCTGCACAGGCTAGTCCTGCATTACTGAGAACCGTTGCAACTGTAGGATCTTGTTTACTTGCACCGTCCATACGTTTGTACATCTGCAGCGCATCTTCATAGTGTTCCACCGCTTTCCCGTAGCCGCCAAGTTTAAACCAGAATGTACCCAGGTTGACGAGGATGACGGCAACTTCGGGATGTGCTGTGCTTGGTCCGTGAATTGTCTTAAGTATCCTCAGGGCCTCTTCGCAGTTGCTCACTGCTTTCCTGCGTTCCCCCAAGATCCACAAATTAAGTGAAAGGCTGTGAAGTGCTTCTGCAGTCCTAGGATGCACGTCACCATACAGTTTCCTAGTCATATCTAGTCCCTGCCGGAAGTAGACATTGGCTTGTTTAGGATCCAGCTTGCTCCATGATGAACCAAGGTTCATGAGTGAACGTGCAATTTTAGGATGTGCTGCAGTCTCACCATAAATTGCCTTAAACATTTGCAAGGCGTCTTCTGCGTAACTGCGTGCCTTCCGGGGATTCCCCATTTCCTCCCAGCTTACCGCTAGGTTGTTTAATGACCAAGCGATATGAGGATGTACAGCATTTTGTCCATGCAGCTTTCTGCTCATCTGCAGTGCTTCTTCAATAACACTGATGGCTTTCTTGTGATCCCCTGTATTTCCCCAGGATTCTCCAACATTGCTTAGCGCACTGGCAACTTCAGGATGCTCTTTACCATAGACTCTCAAATACATGTCATATGCCTGTTGATGATAGTCGAGTGCTTTTCTGTGGTCTCCAAGCTTCGTCCACGTTGTACCCAGAAATCCTATAGCGAAGGCAACATCACGCTGGGCTGTTCTCCGGCCATAAACTTTCCTATACATGTCCAGTCCGTCCTCTAAGTAGCTGATTGCCTTTCTATAGTCCGAGATTTCATACCAAACCTTTCCTAGATTTATTAGACACTCAGCAATAAGAGGATCTTCACCATCAAAAGAACCGCATACTTTGAACATCTGTATTGCTCGTTCAAGGTAACTGAGTGCTTTTCTATGATCTCCATGATATAACAAATCTGTTCCCAAGTTAAACAGTGATGTCGCTGTTTCCCAATCTTCCTTACCTTTGCATAGATTCAAAGCCTTTTCATGGCATCTGATAGTTTGCATGTGATAACCGAAGTAACGATAAATTAAACCTTTCATTACTGGACAGCTTTCCAGAAGAGAATCCTGTAGAGGCAGGGAGCTTTTGCGCAACGGGAATTGTACATCTGACAAGAAGGCCTTCAGAGGACGTGCTGTGAAGAAATACCTGAACATCTGATTCATATCGGAAACATGAAACACCTTTTGCAAGAGATGGCTTGTTTCACCTCTGTTGTCCCGTGATGTAGGCATTGACGGGAGGGCGGACATGTTTTCCTTCTGGCCGCCGTTTGCGATGTAGGTCCTCAGTCTGAGTTCTGCTGAGATGCTGACCAGAACCTTCAGGTGGTGCGCGTTTTCGGCACTGACAACCCCTTCAGTTTCCATGTCTTCAATTGTTTGCCAAACTGTAGTGGGTATGATATTGGAACCGAGAGCCAAACAATCTACTGCGATTGCAGGGAATCTGTAGATTTCTTTCTTTACATCCAACAGCTCGTCTTTGAATACGTCGTCTTCCTGAAGACTTGCCCAATTCTCATGGATCGTCTCGCTGGCCATCTGCTGAGCTACTTCCCCTCCACGAGCCTTCAGCGTCTCAGCCACGATAGCGGCATAGTCATTAACCAAGGTCTGCTCTCCGACAATCAGGCAAGTATTTCTCAGCACGCTACAGAGGTGATACCCTGCCTTCAGGTACACTGAAAAGTCTGTTTGTAAGACTCTGGCCATATTTATCGGTGTGCGGATTAGTTCACTTGGTGGTTCAGTCGAAGTTCCCTGCCTGCCCAGCGGAGTCTTGCTTGCCTTTGGCATGGAGCCATCAAATGCAAACCCACGAGGTGTAACAGAGTCATAGTACCAGTTGTCAAGTGGGTTATCTGAGTAGAAGTCATTCAGACTTTTGATCCCCAAGGCCGGGAGGATGGTTTCTCCCAGGTTGACCACTTTGAGGTGCAGGTAGTGAGTCAGTCGACGGAAATACGCGGCATTTGCTTCATTTTCCTCCTCTACCAAGATGGCAAACTCTAGGTCTGAGTATGGAGTTACCAGTCCTGTGGCCTGTGAACCCAAACCTATCAGGGCATACTTACATGGAGGGGGACCCATCACTGAGATACACTCATTTATTAACTGTGTTATAAAGTTCTTTCTGTCATCAGCAATACTCTCAAACACCTGCCTTACTTTGTCAGCTCTCTCAGCTTCCTTCTCATGAACTTGCTCTCTTCTGAGGTGTTTAGTTGCTTCCTCACGAGATCGTCCTAAACCTGGATTGACTCCCGACCTCTCCTCTACCTCCTCCTCCTCTTCCTCAGCATCAGCATCCATGAAGGGGAACTCCTCCTCGTCAAGTGATTCCATCTCCAGTTTGATTCGGTCCCGAATTTCTTTCAGTTGTTTCTTGTGTTTCTTTGTTTCATCTGGATTCCCTTTCTTATCTATCTTCAAGGTATGATGGACAAAAAGCGCTTCTGTTTCCTCAACTGCATTTTGAACGATCTCATTGTTGAATTTTGACCTGGCCAGTGCTGCATGGTAGAGTGCTGCCGCCTTGACAAAGTCTCCCCCGTCTCCTGTTTGACAGCCTCGCCTGCAGTAGACATCGCCCAACTTGTGCAGGGGTAAAACCTCTTTTTCATACTGTTGCGTTGTGGGATCTGTGAAATAACAACTTATGTCTTCAGTCATTTTACTAGTAAGTCATTAAGATTCGAAAGTTTGAGTCAAGTTAATTTTTAGGTACAAAATATTATGAAAGGTGTTTCTAGCACAGACATGCTTAGCTATGAATATGGATTAAAAGTCATTTGGGTAGCAATGCAGGGCAGTGTGTGTTTTCCTACCTCTGACATGTACAAGCCTGAGCGCTGCTGCAAAGTGCTTCTCTGCTGAGTCCAGGTCTCCCCTCTGTACAGCCTCCTCTCCTTTCTGCAGGTGTTCCTCGTACTGCCTGGATAATGTTTCATAAGGATCAATATTGTTTAATCTTTGAAAGTTTGAAAGATTATTATTGGGTGTGAAGGACTTTTAAGATCAACTGCGCTCAAGTAGAATCTCATTTATCCATTTTAACAGAGATTGTTGATTTCTGTCGTCGTTCAGCCTAGCTGTGGCAGACTGTGCTTATACAAATAATTTATATCAATTCTCCTTCTATGATTAATAATGATTATCTATACATTACGATTCAAACATTACGGCCCATTACGGCTCAACTACTATCTAGAAGTGAGAGACAGGCAATACGGATTGATAGTCTTTAAAAAAATCACGTACCTTGCATTATCTGCTGTAGGGAGGCTGCTACCCTGAGGAATATTTGGGGCTGTGTCCTTGGCCACTTTAGAACTAGACCCTTTGTTTGCCTTTATGCCCTTAGGCGTCATCTGAAAATACCAACACCAAGTCTTAAAGATTACTACCTACTATTTTTTGTAAGGCCACCCTGCTTTGATTTTATGGATGACATCTGCGCGCGCATTGACTTTCGGCTGCCCCCCCCCCCTCAAAAAAAAAAAGAATCACGGCTCTTGCCTGGGTGATGCCAGCCTCCTCAGTTTATGATGGCTACCGACAATAGGGAACCGGCGGTAACTTAGGAGGACAGCACCCAGGCTGCCGACGCTCCACGACTAAAAAATTCAGTACATACATACAGTGCCGATTCATAAATTCCGCAAAAAGCCCGCATGTGCCGGCTTGTCGTATACGTCACTATGTACTAAATTCACAATACCAGCTTTGTATTCCTATGGTTTAGCAGCATTTTTATTTTTGGCCGTAATTTTTTTGTAATCGCCCGCGCGCACTAGTTTGGGGGTCTACAGAGGATGTCATTCATAAAATCAAGGCAGTGTGGCCTAATCTACATTTGCGATAAAAGTAGATTAAAAAACACCTGTAGTCTTGACACATAAATGGACGAAACTGACAACAACACCCCTTCATTGATAAGCAGCACCTGCAGCCATGCGGTTAACCAAAGGTTGCACCGATGTCAGAACAAGCAAACACCGCATCGCCATGCATGGCTGGGCGGATATGTTTGTTTGTTTGTTTATTTAAATGCAACAGTGCATAACAAGTGGCAACCAGGCAGCAACAAGGCTGGTAGCGGCTACCACTGACACATAAATGCATAAATACAAAGTACAGTATAACTTAAATACAATATCACTTAGTACATACAAATTCAATTCAATATTTACAATAATAGCAATAAACATACAAAGTACATACAAATTCAATCAATACATAATTAAGCAATACAATATAATTACAATACAAATCGATAAAATGATCAAAGTTGAAATGATCAGGGGGGGCTGTCATTGGTTACTACAAACACGATCTCCGTTGGTACACAGATTGACAGAAGGGAAGCCGGAACAAGAATGGCAGGTTAACTACTTCCATACACATGATATAGAAATCTACGGTAAAACAAACTTAATGTCAGTGACACTTCTGGTTGTTAATACATAGCTGTAGAGTATGGTCTTAGTCGGGATGTTAGCACTGACGACAAAAATTTCAAATGCTAATGTATGAAATGCTATGTAGAAAGCAAAGCACCTACCCGTCTCCTTCTTTCCGCCATGTCCTTCCTGACTTTTGCTGCGCGCAGTAAGCGATGTGTGAGGACGGTTTTCCCATGTGGATCATCACATCGCTCCAGGGCTGTGCTGTACAGGGCTGTAGCCTTGGTCAAGTGTTGTGGATTCTTTAAGTCTTTTCCTCTCTTAAGGTTCACGTCTCCGAGACTTTTTATAGCCTCTACTTCTAACAGAACGTTCCTCTCTGCTATTCCTTCCACAAGAACCTTCGTGTAGCCATTTAAGATGGAGTCCATATGGCCACCATTCGCCCGTTTCCTGTCCAAGTCTTGAAAGACTTCTGAAGCTCTTGCAACAGAATTAATGCTTCCGTTCCTGGTTGATCCAGCTATGGGCGTTTTCTGCCTGAGTTTCTCGGCGAGTTTGACCCTATGTTGGAGAGACTCGCCTTCCCCCGGGTCCTCACACCGGAGCAGCGCGGCCCTGTACAGGTTCAGGCCCCGCTCCAAGTTCCGCGGAGCTTCGGTCTTGTGGAGTCTTCCTTTCTCCACGTTCAAGTCTCCCAGGCTCTTCAGTACCTCCACTTCCTGCAGCCTGTCCATATCAGACATGGCGGCCAGAAGGGCGCGGCCGTACCCCGTCTCGGCCAGGTCATACCTGTTAGCCGCCACAAACCTCCGGCATTGCACGTCTGCAGGGAGAAGGGTCCCCGCAACACGCAGTATGTTGGACATGGTGATCGGGCTGGTAATGGTACAGAGAACACAAAAAAAAGCAAGTCACTATCGAGGTCTAAAAATGACTTTCGTTCGTCACATGATGCGGAAGCGTTGGCGGGGGAATACCAGGTGTGGTGATGACGTCACACTTAAAATGTTACTTGCTCTATTGAACTTTGAACTCCTGGCGTCAACATGTAACGGAGCGATATCACTCAATGATAAATGTTTTATTTATTAGGAAAGCACTCTCACTTTGCTACATGTTAAGTTAATAGTTTTCAGTATTGGATGAATTCACTGTGATACAGAGTTAAAGATTCATATATGCCTGTGGTCAAAACAGATCACGTATAGCGTCATCTGTAATTCTATTACATAGCATAAGTTGTTTGTACGCTATAAAGAAGAGCGTCAAGAAACCATGAATACGAATGCATTTTTTAATATCAGCAAACAACACAGACAAGAGCAGGCGTTCTTTCTAATATGATTCCCATACGAACTGCTGTTATCATGGTGACGATACATGTAAGTGACGTATGATCTCCAAGCAGATACTAAGTTGACTTATATCCAATCGGATAAGCAGTGCCCATTAGATTCTGCGGCTATCCATTGGAAACTGCTCGGACGGTTGGATACTGTCTAGCCACCTTAGGATCTGCTTGGAGAAGAGCATTTATCAGACAGTGTAAATTGTTATCGACATACATTAAACACTTTTGTGGCCTCCAGTCTTCTTTGATCTGAATGTTCACCAGCTGAGTCCCTACCTCTGTTTTGGACTTTTATTGTTCCCGTAAGTGACCTCTAGCACCTGCTGTATTTGTGGCTTTTTTGAGGTAGGCTGTCTTTGACAAATTACTCTGTGGAGATGAGGAGAACCTAGCTTTAGACTATACACAGAATAGACTGTGGCAATTAAGCCCCTGGCCATGTAGGCTTAACGAATCGTCTTGACTGCCGAGAGCATACTAACTGGGCGGTCGTCATAGGTGAAGCATCAAATCATGCTTTTTTCTATTAGCTATGCTTGTGCAATGCGGCTTCGGTACGACTCGTGCATATAGGGGTGATGATGTAAATCAACGTGTGGCTAGACGATAAAACTAACAAGTAATGAAAGTACGCTGACTGTTGTCATTTAATCTAGATGTCATCACATTTGCCTGCATGTATGTAGGCGAGTTCGGCCGTTCAGCGTATCTGTGGATATGAAGGAGGAAAACCCGGGATATGGGTTTAAATAGGGGATGTGAACTGATTTGTAGCTTTGAGGCAGATTTAGTTTCAGTAGGTAAAGATTTAAAACAATTATCCTAATATACCTGAGAGCCGAGACTATTTTGGATTCACATCGCTGAAAGTATGTGGAGTTTACGCAAATACACAAGTCATGTCATCTGTGACGCTTTTCTGTATTTAGCAGCAGTGTGTGCACATTATGAGTGAATAAAAAGAAGCAGTATATAACATGTTAATGCTTTTATTGTTATCTGATCAGTGCTTTCCTGTATTCCTGAAGGCCCGTGCAGGCAGTCCTCAAGTTACTCCGGGGGCCGACACTGTCTTTTGATCTGCAGTCTCACCATAAATACTTTTTTTTTTCAGTCCAGTGCTGTCCATGGCTTTCTTGTAATCAGCAAGATATCGATCACGCCACGCAGAGCACAGGTTTCTGAGGTCAGTGACAGTTCTGTCATGTGCTTTGTTTTCACTTTAAATCGTCAGGCTTCCTGCATCTGCGCTGCCTGTGTGAAGTAGAACATGGTTTGTCTTTCATCGCCTAGGTTATCCCAGACGAATACCAAGGACTTAAGCGTTTTAACAATCTTGGGGTGTGGTGTGTTTTCGCCATAAACAGCTTTGTACATCTTCAGAGCCTGTTCATGGTATTCTTTAGCTTTCCAGTAATCGCCTAAGCTACACCAGGCAATCCCCAAGTTGTTGAGGAAGGTGGCAGTGTTTGCATGGGGTGTATTTTCACCATAGATGGCCTTCTGCATTTTCAGTCCCTGTCCATAGTACTGAACAGCTTTCCTGTAATCACCTCGACACTGCCAGGCATATCCCATGTTACTGAGTGTGCTAGCAATCTTAGGGTGTTTCGCATCCCGACCATAGACACTTCGATACATCTCCAATGATTGCTTGAGGTAGGTCAGTGCCTTCTGATAACTTCCAAGGTTAGTACAAGTCACCCCCATGTTGTTAAGAAGTTCTGTAATTTCAGGATGTTCTGGGCCGTGTATAGCTTTCTGCATCTGTAAAGTCTCTTCAAAGTACGTCATTGCCTTACCGCCATCTCCCAGTTTACCCCATGTTGTCCCCAGGTTATTGAGGGTAATAGCAATGGCTGGATGTGGTTTATCTGGACCATAGACCGTCCTTAAAATTTGCAGAGCCTCATCGTAACATCTGAGCGCTTCTTCGTTTTTCTCCAAGCTCCAATAAACGGACCTGAGGTTGTCAAGAGCACCGGCAGTGTCAGGATGGGATTCCGTATGGAGTCTTCTCCTCATATCCACCCCCTGTTGTGCATACATGATTGCCTGCTTTGGGTCCAGGTTATTCCACGATGTTGCAAGACTGCTGAGTGAATGTGCAATATCGGGATGTGCTGCCGTCTCGCCATGGAAAACCATGTACGTTTTCAGGGCTAACTCTCTGTATTTGATAGCCTTATGATGTTTTCCAAGCTTATGCCAGGCCTCTCCCAACACGGTTAAAGATACCGCTATGTCAGGATGGGCTGTATTCTGACCATACAAAGTGTTCCTCATTTTCAGGCTCTGATCATAGAAGCTGATGGCTTTCTCATAATCACCCTTATTGGCCCAAACTAAACCTATGTTGTGAAATGATGTGGCAATATCGCGATGTGCTGTTCTCATACCATATAATTTCTGATGCATCTTCAGTGTTTCTTTAAACTGGTGGAGTGCTTGCTCATAGTCACCAAGCTTATCATAAGACAACCCTAGAAGGGTTAGTGCGTCAGTAGTGCCAGAATGTACAATGTCTGATTGTCCTGTGTCCTGACCATTGACTTCCCTGAACAAGGCCAGTCCTTCCTTTAGGTAAATGATTGCCTTAATATGATCAGCCAAGTAATGATACACTGACCCCAACTTGACTAGAGACATGGCAATGTCAGGGTGGTTAGTAGTTGGTGCATGGAATTCCCGGTACTTTTGCAGTGCCCGTTTGAAGCAGCCAATTGCTTTTGCGATGTTTGTTTGATCTCCCAAGTTTAGCAACGCTGATCCCAACTTTAATTCAATATGGCCATCTGCCACAGAAAGCTTCCCATAACACCTGAGAGCTTCCATGTTATTGCCCAACAAGCGGTACATGTCCCCTTTTACTACTGGAGAGTTCTCAAATAATCGTATACTTCTCAGCCGGCGTTCTTGATTAAGGGGAAACGGTTTATTGGACAGAAGGCGGTGGAGAGGCATTGCTGTCAAGTAATATCTCAACAGCTGGTTTATATCAGAAATGTAGAACACCTTCTGTAACTCACTGGTATGCTGGTCGCTGTTGACTGGTGATGCTGGCATTTCCGACAAGGCTGACATGTTCTCCTTCTGGCCGCCGTTTGCGATATAGGTTCTGAGTCTGAGTTCTGCTGAGATGCTGACCAGAACCTTCAGGTGATGTGCGTTTTCCGCACTGACAACGTTTTTGTCCTTCATGTTTTCTATCGTGTTCCAAACTGTAGTTGGCAAAATATTCGAACGGAGTGCCAAACAGTCGACAGCAACAGACGGAAACCGGTAGATTTGTTTCTTCACATCAAAAAGGACGGCAGTCGGTCTCTGGTCGTCGGCGTTTGCCAGATTCTCATGTATCGTCGCCTTTGCCAGTTGCTGAGCCATTTCACCACCTCGAGCCTTCAGAGTCTTTGTAACAATGCCAGCATAGTCATCAACTAAACCCTGCTCCCCTGCTATCAAGCAAGCATTCCGCAAAACACTGGCGAGGTGATACCCTTCCTTCAGATACACTGAGGCATCCTTTTCCAAGATTCCAGCCATGTTCTTTGGTGTGCGGATGAGTTCACTGGGTGGTTCAGTCGAAGTTCCCTGCCTGCCCAGTGGAGTCTTGCTTGCTTTCGGCATAGAGCCGTCAAAGGCAAACCCCCGTGGTGTAACAGAGTCGTAGTACCAGTTGTCAAGTGGGTCATCTGAGGAGAAATCATTCAGACTTTTTATCTCCAGGGCTGGGAGAATGGTTTCTCCCAGGTTGACCACTTTGAGGTGCAGGTAGTGAGTCAGTCGACGGAAATACGCGACATTTGCTTCATTTTCCTCCTCTACCAAGATGGCAAACTCCAGGTCTGAGTATGGAGTTACCAGTACTGTGGCCTGTGAACCCAAACCCATAAGGGCATACTTACAGGGAGGGGGACCCATCACTGAGATACACTCATCTACTAGCTGCCCAATGAACTCTTTTCTTTCTTTAGCAATTTTCTCAAACAACTGTCTGACAGCTTTAGCCCTCTTGGCTTCTATCTCTCTTGCTAACTGACTTTCCTCGTCATGTATGTAGGGGTTCAGATCTTTGTCGATGGTTTCCATCTCCTGTTTGATTTGGCCCCGGATTTTACTGAGCTGGTCCTTGTGTTCACGAGAGTTACCCCCTTGCAGGCTTTCAGTAAAAGTCTCTTTAGCTAGGCAATACTTAAGAGCCTTTTTCTCTGCTTCCTTAACTGCTTTACCAAGCTTGCGTTTTGAGGCTCTCTTGTTCGACCTGGTCAGTGCTGCATGGTAGAGTGCTGCTGCCTTGACAAAGTCTCCCCCGTCTCCTGTTTGACAGCCTCGCCTGCAGTAGACACACCCCAACTTATGCAGGGGTGAGACTTCTCTTTCATACTGTAGAATTGTAGGATCTATAGGAAAACAATATTTTCTTCGGTTTTAGTGCAGATTTGTTATCATATGTCATTTTAAAGAATTTATAGAGCGACTATTCAGTAGTCAGCTACATGCTTTGACAAGTTTTATTGTTTCTATATAAATCATTTGTTTTAAAAATGTACAAAATGTGTATGTTTTAATTTACCTATAGAATATATAAGATATAGTGTGCAGATTGTGTACATTGACTTTTCCCTACCTCTGACATGTACCAGCCTGAGCGCTGCTGCAAAGTGCTTCTCTGCCGAGTCCAGGTCTCCCCTCTGTACAGCCTCCTCACCTTTCTGCAAGTATTCCTCGTACTGCCTGGAGAAGGTTTACACAGTAAGCTAACATTGATAAAGTGCTAATATTGAGGTCACGCCGTCTATTTGCAATGGTTACTAAAACAACAAAGCTAAAGTCCGTTAGAGTTTCAAAACATGGCACTAACAGCTTGACGTCACTTACCTTGAATCATCTGCTGTAGGGACGTTATGACCTTGAGGAATTGTCGAAGTAACCTTGGTAGGTTCAGGTGACTCCCACTTGTTTGTCGTTTTGCCTCTCTGGGTCATCTAAAAGAACCAATTAAGGGAACCTAGTCTATATGTATGCGATAACACATACTCTCAGATGACAACAACGGACCAAACATTCATTCAGCAAAGGATTGAAAGGCAGTCCTCACGCATGAATGAATCAAATGAACAGAGACACTCCATATATTGATATAAAGCATGGCGTGTAGCTTTACTATACAACTAGCACTACACTAATGCAACACTGTCTCGCCATGCACCACGCACTACTAAAATACAACACTGTCTTGTCACGCATAATGCACTGTTACAGTAATACAACACGCTGCCTCCCCATTGATGACTGAATAGTAATGAGCGAACATGACACCTTACAGGTCAGAAGGTCATCGGTTACCACACACACACGAGCCTTGTTGGTACACAGGTGACAATAACAAAGGGAAAGGGCGGACCACTTTATACACCTGTATACTGCATAGTAGGGGCGAATATTTAGTCGTAAGGCAAAGAATAACAGTGGTTCAGTTATATTGTCAGTTTTATGTTGTATAGAACAATGTTAAGTTTGCGTTTTAATTGCAGTAGGGGTTTATATTGACAACTAAACACAAAAAAGGAAAATGTTATTCTATGTAACACATACCCGTCTCCTTCTGTCCGCCATGTTTCTCCTGACTTTTGCTGCGTGCAGTAAGCGATGTGTGAGGACGGTTTTCCCATGTGGATCGTCACATCGCTCCAGGGCTGTGCTGTACAGGGCTGTGGCCTTGGTCAAGTGTCTGAGCTCCTTTAAGTCTCTTCCTCTCTTAAGGTTCACGTCTCCGAGACTTTTTATAGCCTCTACTTCTAACAGATTGTTCCCCTCCGCTATTCCTTCCACAAGAACCTTCGTGTAGCCACTTAAGATGGAGTCCATATGGCCACCATTCGCCCGTTTCCTGTCCAAGTCTTGAAAGACTTCTGAAGCTCTTGCAACAGAATTAATGCTTAGGTTCCTGGTTGATCCAGTTATGGGCGTTTTCTGCCTGAGTTTCTCGGCGAGTTTGACCCTATGTTGGAGAGACTCGCCTTCCCCCGGGTCCTCAAACCGGCGCAGCGCGGCCCTGTACAGGTTCAGGCCCCGCTCCAAGTTCCGCGGAGCTTCGGTCTTGTGGGGTCTTCCTTTCTCCACGTTCAAGTCTCCCAGGCTCTTCAGTACCTCCACTTCCTGCAGCCTGTCCATATCAGACATGGCGGCCAGAAGGGCGCGGCCGTACCCCGTCTCGGCCAGGTCATACCTGTTAGCCGCCACAAACCTCCGGCATTGCACGTCTGCAGGGAGAAGGGTCCCCGCAACACGCAGTATGTTGGACATGGTGATCGGGCTGGTAATGGTACAGAGAACACAAAAAAAAGCAGGGGGGCAGGTGCTTGGTGACTTCAGAGACCTATGCCATCCTCCATTGCCTTCAAACTTTGGATCTTGGTAGATTTTGGAAACTTTCAACCGTTCCCTCAGCATCCACTACTCATTATTTGGATGCATAACCTTCGTCGACGTAGGAGTCAGTTCGGCGCTCTGTTCTCGTGTTCCCTGCACTGTGTCTTATGAATAGTCTTGGCACGGCCGCTGCACTAACACAATAGTTCCCGTCTCGTCGTTCCTACATGCTCGGCTGATCATGTGTCCTACACTGTTTTCTCTCGCGGCTCCTGGCAGTATCATCTTCACACTGCCATTGTTTAAGTCCTGAAAGACAGGTGTAAGGTTATGTCCGGTGTAGAAAGGACGTCACGGTACTATATTTAGATATATTTAGATCATGACTGGTAGGTGAAGGTGGAGGGGAATAACCTTCTCTGGACATTTGTTCCTTTTTTTATTTCCTCTCATCACGGCGTGGTTCAGTGGATTAAACTTAAGCTGGCGATTTATAAGCTTTACTGAACACACACAGGCGGCTTTTCAAGGGGTGGACAGGTGTGTAGCACAGATGCCTTTTTGTTTCTTTAATTGTTTAACCAAATGAAACACAATGAAAGATGTGTGTGTTGTACCCAGAACCGTGTACAGGCATGATTCTGTATACTAGTACGTCCACGCGTACACGGCATCCAGAACCGAGTATGGTGCAAATCTCCTTTTTTTACACTCTAGTGAAAGTACAGAGCCCGCGTTTTTTTAGAAACAGTAACATTTGTACATACAGTATCTATCACTTGTTCACGTGAGTTTTTCATAAGGTAAAAGTAAAGGTCCATAACCATTTTTCAAGCTGGAGGGCCAGTAAGTGGGTTGTTAGTTTACTGTGTCTAGGGCACGGTGTTGGATGGTGGAGCCCATTCCTCTCCTTTCACTGCCTTTTACCTTCCCAACCGAAGTCAGGTGCCCATTTTACATCAGGGCGGATGTAGCTTCAGTTTAAGGATTGAAACTCCCTCTACTATATACAAGAAACTAAGATAAACTTAGTTATAAATAAGGTAGTCCCATAGCTTTTGAGGTTGTAGGGTCAGTGGGTTGTTAGTCCACCGTGTCTAGGGCACGAAGTCTATCCCTCTCCTCCCACTGCCTTTTACCTCCCCAACCGAACTCAGGTACCCATTTTACGCCTGGGTGGAGTGAGTAAAATGCCTTTTCCAGGAACACAACATTTCGTCGTACCTCATCACAGACATGTCGTCATCACCGGGCAGTCCCAAGCAGCTCCCCCGGGGCAGGTCGACTGACGGCCCGACTAAAACAGCCTGGACGACCCGGTGCGACCACCTGCAGCCTCGGAGAAGGTCGACTCGCGGGCTGACCTGGAGAAGACAGCAAAGGCCTAAACAGGAGTCGGTGGCTAAAGTATGGACGGAAGACTTTGGAAAAAGACCAGTAACAAATAAGTAAGTGGCATTGAATATTCTAATTTGTTGAGTGACTTGCTTTTGCGCACTGTTAAAACTGATGATATAGAAGCTGGTGTGTTACACCGAAGGGCAGTTATATAATATATATAACTGTACTGGCTATACAGTAACGGATACAGTGAGAGCAGTCTGATACACCGTCTCTTGTTCTTATTGCTGTTGTAATTTTGAATCCATAACTTCCTGTTAAACATAAAACAAGTTGCAAAAGGCCATAGTTAATGTCATATGAAATGTTTTGTTTGATATGAAAAGTAAGTGAGCATTGCACAGGCCATTTAGCTACCAGTCTGAACAATGTCGTCCAATTGGTAAATGATTGAATAGCAAAGATTCACAACTACTTATTGAACAAGAGCCGACGTTTTGATGACCGTCTTTCATCTTCATCAGGGCAAAATGACAGACGCCCATCGAATTTTTGACTCTTGTTAACTTGCCAAGTGGTTGTGAAATAAAGAACTTTGCTATTCAGTCATTTGGCCAGTTGGGAACTTCAAAGCCTTAAAAAAAAGCTTTCAGTCCTTTGTTGACAATATTCTAGTCAAATTAAAGCCCACAATGACAGTGTAAACAGTTGTATTGTTCACGTCATTAGGTCTTACATCAGAGACATGTCGTCATCACCGGGCAGCCCCAAGCAGCTCCCCCGGGGCAGGTCGACTCACGGCCCGACTAAAACTGCCTGGACGACCCGGTGCGACCACCTGCGGCCTCGGGGTGACTTAACCGGGCGGACCTGGAGCAGACAGCAAAAGCCTAAACAGGAGGCTGTGGCGAATGTATGGACGGAAGACTTTGGAAAAAGATCGGTAAAAAATGTAAGCTAAACCTTCTGATACTAAAGACACTGATTCTAGTTCATTTTAAGTACAATATCCTCATTTTCTTAATCATTACATGTGAAACATTCTGCGTTTGACAGGAATAGCCATCTGTATGTATTATGTAAATGAAGGTAAATGAAAGTTTGTTTCCCCCCAGATCAGGAAAACGCGTGCTGCAAAGTCTTTTGTGAGGCGAGATTTAGAGCCCCTGTCGGAAGAACAGGAACACAGTGGAACTGAGATGAAGGTACTACACATTATAAGTTATAAATACAGGATGTGAACTGATAGGTTTGATCCATTTTCAAAGGGTAATAATATATGCCCCACCTAGCTGCTGTGTGGCGGGTTCTTTAACATGCTTACGGTGTGGATTACCCGAAATGCGGAACTACAGATTGAAGGCCGGGATTCAAACCCAAGACCTTTAGAATTAGACCATTGGGGCACGGTCACATTTCCAAGTCGGGCCCGGCCGGGTTGTTTGCGTGAACGAAAAATAAACACCTTGTATTAAGAGTATACACAAATAGTGCTCATGGTTAATTTTCTAAAACTTTTTTTTGTGTTTTGCTGTCTTATAATTTTCGTTCCATACGACTGACCGGCCGGGCCCCGGCTTGGGAAATGTGACCGCGCCTTTATTAGTGGGAATTCTCTACCTTAACCAAACATGCTATCTGGCTTAGACGATGCTCTGACATCCCCATATAACAAACCTTTTGTATTGATCCTTTGTTTCCATCGCAGGTCCCACTGAAAAGACAGCCGAGTTCTGACTCCCTGTTCGGCGGGAAGCAGGTGAAGCCCGGCGCCGTGTGGAGGCCGTACGGCCCGCCGCTGTACGGGTACGGCTCCTCCCTGAACCCGCCGCCCAGGAAGAGGCCGGACACGCTGCTCATCCTCGCCGCCATCTTCTACTGCCTGGCCGTCCTGACAGCGGTGGTGTTCGCTGTACTCTTCAAGACCAACGTTATACCAGGTTAGTAGTTTTTGTTAGACTCCATCTTATCACTGTCACGTTTTGTAGTGAAATTTGTGCTACAGGTTCCATGAGAACTACAGAAGGCTTTTCTTCTTTCAGATAGGATGCAGAATATAGTAGAGTGGATTCATTCCTCAAGCTAACCAAGGAGGTTAAATACAAGGTTTTTTTTTATTTTAACTCCATGGGCTAACCGACCTCTCGCTGTCCTTTCTCAGTAAGACATCTGGATCCACAAAGTTCCCGTTTATAATTTTTATTCAGCCTGTCATCAGATACGATGTAAAGTTTGAAGAACGTTGTCTGAAAAAATATGATTTTAGTATTCGTTGCACTTTATTCCCCACAGTAATCCATATTTTTAATCTTTGGCAGTATACAAAACTCCGGAGCCGGTACCTGTGTGGATGCAGCAGTTTTCCCCGGAGATGCAGAGGTGGTACCAGTTGGCGCTCCAGGCCGCCGGAGGGGACACATCAGCGATACTGCCGCCTGGATACGTGCAGCAACCAACCGTGGAGACTCCTGTGCAGGAATGTGAGTCTTTTGGATTGCTAATTTACATAACCAATTGTATATGATATTACATCTGTCCAAAGTTTCCACCTATCACATTTTCATGGTAACACTGATTCTGATGACTGGTGGTCCTAAAAGAAAGATCGCCATGGTCTTTGCATTCTGAACATTTTTTTCTTCCCTCCAGCTTGTGGCAACATGTCACTTCCTGACTTGGGTCACGGCGACTTTATCTGCACCAGTATCGCCTACTACAACATCTACGTGCGCATGTGCATTAGCAAGTGTGACGTGGGCTACCAGACCGATGACGCGGGCCTGCTGTTCTGCAACCGCGGCCGATGGGCGCCGATCGCGCCCGAAGTCGTGTCGACACTCGTCGGCGTCGGTCGGGCTGCCGACACGATGCCGAACACCGACCCTCGGGTGTTCGAGCACCTCGGCATCTCCGACCAAATCTACGCGGACGCGGCGCGTGGCATTTTATTCAAGCTAGACGTCTCCAACCTTCCTGTCGTGGAGACATACTTAGACATCATCTCAGAGGACAACATCATCGATTTCGACATGATGCAGCAGTTGTTGGAATGGATCGGCCCGACTCTAGACGACATCGTGGAAAACCTGGACTTCCTGCATGTTCTGTCTCGCCTAGGTAGGGAGAGGCTTCGGCTTATTTTTGACGTGCTTACAGGCGTTTTTATCGGGCTTCGCTTTTCTGTACTGGTATCTTTTTTCGCGCTCAGCCAAACGATGACGTATTAGATAGTTCTCTGCCACCAAGACTGTCTTGCCAATCTTGTACCCATGGGAGACTATATAATTAGGCCCCGCACATAGCTGACAGTGTGAACAATATCATCTAAAGTGTACAATGTTATCCATACAAGTAAGTTTGCTTTGATTTTTTTTAATTCACGCGTGCATTTTTACTTTTATACTATACGTAATGATTGGAGACGTTGGATTAAATTGTAAATGTTTGTTTGCAGAGACGTTTGGGGCGACCAAGCATCCGGAGTGCAGACTTGTGGACTGTGGAGGAGAGTCTGAGGTAAGCTTTTCTATTCTCTTATATATACTTGATTAATTAACTAATTTATTAATCTTCCTGTCCGATTAAGGGAAGTATGACTAATACGTCTTCCATCTCTTTCAAAGAATGTAGCTCATGGCAAAATCAACAGAAGCTCAAAGACGTCGACGAACATGTCAGTAGCCCGAGTGGTCTGTGAGCGAGGCTACCTGCCCCGGCACCCTGTACTGACGTGTAACGCTACAGGACACTGGGACAAACCCGCACAGTGCGACCCTGGTAGGGTTTTCGTATATTTATTATTTATTGTTTATTAGGCCTGTAATTATTTATATTTTTCCCTTCTCTCAATTGACATAGATAATCACTCCCTATTCCTCCTTTCAATTCGGAACTTTGGTCTCAATGTTGTCTGTATGTATCACACAGTAACCTGCAGCCCACCTGAGGACCCCCCGCACGGATCGTACCTGTGTCAGGGTCACGTGTTCTTGGACCCCTGTGACGTCATCTGTGACGTAGGGTACCTACCGGAAACGGACCACGCCCTGGGCTGCAGCTGGACCGGAAACTGGACCGCCTTCCGCAGAGGGAACACGACAGAGATGGAAAATGCTGTGTCAGCAGGTCGGGAAATGTTACACATTTACTGTTCGTATCAGGGGTTGGATCCATGTCAGGATGGCTTAGAGCATAAACTAAAGGGTTTTGAATGTTGTACAAATAACCATACAAATGTGTGGACTTGCTATGTATGCCATGAAGTAATGTATATACTGTATATGTAAATTTAAAAGCTAAATTGTGTCTAATAAACGTTTTCTCTTCTTGGCAGACGTTATCATCCCACAGACTCTGGCCTGTGTCCTCGCTGACTGTGGAAACATTTCGGTGAGTTTTCTAGTATGCTTATTCCTATCATCAAATACACGAGCCTAATCACCAAGCAGGTACCGGAAGGAAAAAAATAGCAACACAAAAATGCTAAATTGTGAGGAAGACGAAATGGTCTTTTGGTGTGGTTATTAGATGGACCCGCTACATCTGCTTGGGGATCAGTATCAGTCATAAATGTATTTAGTTGTCACCAAAGTCTAAGGTTATTTCTTCCTGCACAGATCCCGGCAGACGGTGACGTCACCTGTACAGGTACGACGTACGGCGAGACTTGTCATCTCACCTGTCGGGACGGCTACGAACGGCTGGGACAAGACAACTTCACCTGTCAGGTGTACCGGCTAACAGCCCAAGCAACCTGGAGTGGGGAGCCGGAGTGCACACCAGGTACATTTGTTATATGGCATATCTTAGGTGAATGCCCCTTCCAAACAATGTCACCTTCTTAGCCACTTACTCCGAATAGACTTTCTTCTTAGTCTTAGTAAATGACGCCATTATTAGGCAACGATTTAGAGGTCATCTTTAAATGCACAGCACTGGGGACACTTTAAAAAAGATATTAACAAAGTATTCATGTATTTATAACAGTGAGTTGCGGACCCCCTCCCGAGTTCCCTAACACCGCCCTACAGTGCGCCAGTGGACACACCTACGGGAACACCTGCGGAGTCACCTGTGCGGACGGGTACGAAGGAACGAACCACCGGAGCGTAGCTTGCCATAGCAGCGGCAACTGGAGCCTACAGACGGGAGGTAGGAACTTTATTTTAAAGAGAAATTCCCTGCTCAAAGTAATAGTACAAGTCGTAGCAGTAAACCAAGACCCATTAAAATCATTACATACACAGATTTGTTGACTCGATTTGGCTCACTCACTCACTCACTCACTCACTCACTCACTCACTCACTCACTCACTCACTCACTCACTCAGTCCTCGATTTGGCTACTGTATTATTTTCCCTTCTGTCTCTTTGCTAACAATTTATATATTCCTTTGTGACTTGTAGCGCTCCAGCCAGTTGTTGGCGGACCAGATCTGTTCTGTCAGAAGAAGGACTGCGGCAACCTTACTGTACGTATCTTGTATGTAATACTATCTTCTTGTTTCGTAATTAATGCTGTGGCACAATCGATCTAATGCTATTAATAACTATACCGTTTGATAGAAGAAGGATTCTCAGAAATGACAACCTAATATGTGAAGCGTTTATATTACTTTTTCAGCATTAATTACAACACTTAGAACTATACTCATAGCCACTTAAATAATGGCATGCATATTTGTTCATTGCATTTGTCTTGAAGATATGCATAACGTCGCTCCAGACAATACAAGAAAAATTTTGTTGAACACTCAGAGTCCGACCCATGGCAGCCTGACGTGCAACGGTACCAGGTACCAGGACTCCTGCCGCCTGACCTGTGAGCCCGGCTTCAAAGTCGGCAATGAGCAGGACCTTCATCTCCACAGTCTACACAGCTTCAGGTGCATGGCAACTGGACAATGGAACGACAAACCCAGGTGAAGACGTTTTTTACGGTGATCAAACATCTTTGTTTAAATGCCTCGCTTTTGTTTTGACGTCGAATTTTTGGCACATTTGGAGAACAAACCTCGTGCATAAGATTTAAAAAAATACTGGGGATCTTACTTTCCTTCAACCGCTCTCTAGATGTGTCCCATCCGACTACTGCCGGCTCGGCCTGCACGACTGCCACTCTGATCACGGAATCTGCGACCTGACGGGCCACCAGACCTTCAGCTGCCGCTGCCGGCCCGGGACGGTCGGGGACGGAAGACGCTGTGAACGGACCTCCTGTCCGCCTTTCCCGGTCAGTAGTAAGGTTTTTGTTGCTAGCATCTGTCCAACCCCTTTTAAAATGACAAAAAATTGAACGGAAAGAGTTTCCAGGGCAAAATGACTAGTACTGCTGGATTGTGAAGTGTAGAAAAGTTTTCCATCGACACATGTTTGCAATTTCACAGGTCGCTGAACCGGAAAATGGTTACTTCGGGTGTTCTATCCCGGCATCCCCTGCAGCTGACTTCTGCCAATCCCCTGACAGCACGACGGCGGAGTACGAGGTCGTCTGTCTGCTCCACTGTAACCCTGGTTACGACAGGCTGATCTATGCCGAGTACTCCTGTGGACACGACGGGAACTGGACCATTCCTTTCGACCCAGCGATCCCGGGGTCTACGCCGTGTTTAGGTAAATCCAAAATTCTTATTACCTGTTCATACCTGTGTTTGTCTTTGGTCAGTATGTCTTATTTAAAAATTTGGACAGACAAGGAAGTAAAAGACGTACTGATTATTTAGCTAACACAAGTATAGAAACTTATGTCCAACACCCGGCAATTGACATCATTGTCCAGCACGATAGACACTGCTCTATCTGGCTTTTCCAACAGAATTTTTTCTTATAATTTCCAGCTCTGTTGCAGTGCTCACTTGAAAACTTTTACTTCACTTGAAAACTGTTTTCTATTTCAGCTTCAAAATGCCCGGACCTGTCCAGTCCCCTACACGGTACAATGACCTGCAGCATGGGATTTGAATTCCGGTATCCTGAGACCTGCAACTTCGCCTGCGACCGAGGCTACGAGCTCACGACTCCCACAAGCAGCCGCGAGAGACGCTGTCAGACTGATGCAACCTGGTCTGGAAACGACGCCGTGTGCATTGGTAGATACAGCATTGCTCACATTCAAATTGAATTCAACTTTAAGTACTTTAAAATGTGTAGCAATAACAATGTATGCCCCAAATGTGTCGTGTGGTGCACAATCTCTCATTGAGTGATCTGTGTTTTCATTTTTTATATATTTCATCAGTGGTTGTGAAGAATGTTGTGAAACAGTAACCTCTCTGAACTATTCAAACAACATATGTATTATATTTTTCTCACCTGTAGGCGTACAGTGCCCAACCCTGTCCAGCCCCGCCAATGGGAGAATGTCCTGTGATAACGGCTACTCCTTCCGATTTCCTGAGACCTGCAGTTTCTCCTGTGACCCAGGCTACGAGCTACACGAGAGTGGCGACAGCGTTCGGACCTGCCAAGCCGATCGCACCTGGACCAGGAGGGAGGTCTTATGTAAGTATGCACCCGTTCTGTAATTTAATACCTATGGTGACAGTCTGAGTATCTAAACGTTTTGTTTAGTGCAACACCCGTGGCTCAGGAAGTGGTCGGATTTTTGATGCAGTAGTGTAACTGGAAGGTTGTACATTTACAGAAACTTGTCCCATGTCCCTGCATCCTTTCGTCCATCTTGTGAAAGTCATTTTACACCATGTAGCTACATCTCCAGTATACACAAATATGTCAACATTATGACAATGCTAGATTTATACATTTTATCATCAATTTCCAACGCCCAAAGCTGACAAAGAATACAATGAACGTGAATGTATAAACTTAGTGACTTCCGTCATCAAAACAGAGCTGTATCGGATACGTCTCTTGCTGTAATTGCAATGGATGATATCATCATCAAAGGCACTTGGGACGTGCAATAATGCATGTGCGTTATTTTGACTAAAAGAGCATTGCCATATTGCTTGAATAAAGTTGGCAGTCATCCTAAACATCCTCTCCCCATAATAGGTTGCCCAAATGGGTACACTTACCACCAGCATAGCCGGTCCTGCTACAAGGCCTTCAACCAGGATACTGACCACAGCAGTGCTAGGACAATCTGTTCTTCTGACGGCGGAACCCTCGCCATGCCCCGCGATGCCGTCACCAACACCTTCCTCATCAACCTGAAGAATGCCGTCGATAACAGCGCTTACTTCCGGTTCGGAATGACTGACATCCAACAGGAAGGACGTTGGGTGTGGGAGGATGGTCGTGTTCTTGGAGGTTTCAGCTCGTGGGGTTCAGGAGAACCCAACAACGACGGGGGTATCGAAGACTGTGCGGAGTATTTTTCCGAAGATGACCCGCACGTTACCCTCAGGAACAAGTGGAACGATATTTCGTGCTCCAACAACCCCTCTAGGAAGTTTGGTTTCATTTGTCAAGTCGGTTAAACGGGTTGATCTTCAAATGACGGAGTCAAACATTTCCTTCTTTCATGGCCATGCTTAAAGTGGAACTATCGTGTGATTTTATAAGGATTGTAGCTACAATACTGCATCTACCGAATATTGGACCTGTAAATACACATGTAACATAGTGTAGCATCATGCCTTATGACCCCGTCAAATGGGCTTGATCAGTTGTGTCTTTGGCAACCCATGTTATTTATTTATATTTATTTATTTCTGTCTTCTTTATACAGGGTAGACGCACTCAGTACAATATACTGCTTTACAGGCGTGCCCTGTACAGATAGACATAAACACCAACAACAGTAAACAAAATAACAAAAGTAACATATATATATACACAACCGGCCACAACACTACACTACTGCCACAACACAATGCTGTGGCAGTAGTAAGTAGATCGGTGAGTCTGGGAGAAAAGGCCACATTTGTTGCCACCAGCGTGCCCGCACAGAGAGGATACTGACGACCCAACGTCATGTTGCCCGATAAGATGTGGCGTCGCGTGGTGTAGTGGTTAGAACATTCGACTATGAAGCGGGGAGACCCGGGTTCGATTCCGGGTCGTACCATGTCTGAACATGCGCCCCGACGTTGTGCCCTTAGGAAATGCACTTTACACGACTTTCCTCACTCCACCAAGGTGTGAATGGGTACCTAACTTCGGTTGGGGAAAGTCGTGTTGAGGTCACCTTGTTGCGCCGAATGGCAGCCGCACAGACCCTTGCGACAGTTCCACAAAATTTGTGGAACAAATATGTGTATCACGTGTATTATTTGATTGCTGTTATTTGTATTGATTATATGTGATACCCTGCATCAATTCAGCCGTATAAAGGCTGCGACTGCACGGGTACTGTTTGGACAATAAAACCATTTAAAAAAAGAAGGTCATTGTTACTAGAGATACTTTAGAATCTCCCCAGTCTCTTTGTTGATTGTTGTGTCGCTACAAGAATAGTTTATGATGATGAATAGTTTTATAATGACGTCATCTGTCATCACAAGTCGTCTTGTGTCAATCACTCTGACGTCACTCCCTCATCGACTCGTACTGAATTCCACCTTCTCCTTAGACATGACCTCTAAAATTAGGCAAGACTTTGAAAAAAAGTTAAAGTTAAAGGGCCTACCCGCGTCGAGTGCACGCATGGCGTGGCTCCCATCTCTGTTTTCAATAGCCCTGGGCCACACATCACTAGGGGGCTAGTCCAGTGTGATTTGTGGTGTGTGTTCAACTTCCATACCCTTTCCAAATATTGAGTGCTAAGCAGAGAAAGCAGTATGTGCCATTTTTAAAGTCTATAAGTATATAATATGCATCATCACCATTATTATATGCATCATCACCATTATATGCATCATCATCATCAAAATATGCATAATCATCATCACATGTATCATCATCCTTAGCACATCCTAACCCGCTTACACCTTATTCTATTCAGTCACAGATACCGCGTACAAAT